ATAAGGGGCTTATAAACTTTCCATTAAAACCCTTGAAAAACGCCAGTTTATTTGACGATAAAAACTCTTTAAACCATTCTAGGGTTTTGAACAATTTTATTATTTATTAATTATATTATACTTTTTCAAAATTAAAAAGGGAAACATTTAAAACGGGAAGAAGGACAAAAAATTTACGTTTTTACTTTTTTTTCTTTACAATATTAAAAAAAAGGAATGTTTACTTAAACGACCATGGACTTTCCCGGTACCTTTTTTTCGGTCCTTTGAGGTTGGGACAGGCTGGACGGCCAAACACCGGAGTCCCCATACTTTTCATTAAAATTTGTTTTCCACCAGAACAAAAGAGAATGTTTAGTATTATATGAGGCCCCATTTTGGACCTTGAAGGAACTCAGTCGAAATCCTTAGGTTTTATGTTTATGGTCGTAGTGATCCCTTCGTTGGTGGTAGATTGTGAAGAATCTGTGACCAGGAGACACACACCACAAAACAGCTACCTACCCCACCCACCAATCACACCGCCAACACCTAACCCGCGGGCGGGCAGACCATACACAGCCGAAACGAGCTGTTTTGACCCTCTGGCCTCGTCTCTGGTGGTCCGACGTCGGGGACATCTTGTTCATGCCAATACTGGACGGTATATGTGTGCGTACATATACTATTTCATCAGATTAAATATACATTGTCGTTTTCACCCTATGTCGAGTTCAGGCAACATATAGGAAGAGAGATGATATGATATACGGACTGGGAACATTTTGAAAAGGGCGGTAACTGGAAAGTGACGAATATAAAGAAGGTAAAACTTTTGAAGGGGTAAGATCTCTGGTACGGTATATTGCCCAATTTAACCGTACGTTAATGGGACGGTGTGTTTTGACGGTCCCATCGTTATTTCCACCGTTTCAATTTGTAGAAACCGGTATTTAGCGCTTCTTGTATCTTTTTTGTATTTACGCTGGGGAAAAAAAACATTAATATGTGTACAACAAGCCTTTCTGACGAGTTCGGGTAAACTTTAAACTTGAATCTCTAACGATATTTGGCCATTATAATGCCTTGTTCGGGTGTATATGTTCCGAAAGGAAAGATGTCTAGGATTAAGACCGCAAATGATTATAGCTGAGATAGTCGGTTTAGACTTGTAAAGGAGTATCCTTTGCTGTGATGACGACATTGTTACCTTTAAAATCTCTAATTATCTCATATAATGACTTTGCCGCATCAAGAGACCATCTGTTTGGACCCCTCCCGAGGCCGCGTTCTCGGTATACAAGGTCGCGCGCCATGGACCATTCCTAGGTTACCACTTTGCAAACCCTGTTTTTGCCCATTGTACGCACCTTTGACTCGCCGCAACAAGGACCTTCTTTTTCTCTTGCGACTAGTTACATCCAAAGCATCCACTAGATAATCTCACGATCATAGGGGGAGACTCTTAAATAGAAATCCTAAACAAATTTCTCCCAAGATGTTGGTCTTGCCAACATACGCTGTCCTCGTACGACTTCCTGAATTAATTTTCCCGTGATATAGTGGTTCTGGACCCCCAATACAATTAATATGGCTCATTGGTTATTTATTGTATTTTAGGTACTCTTTAAATGCAATTCTTCCGAACTTTTGTACCGTTGGTTAAATGTGCGCCTCGGGTAATTTAGTGTATGTCGAAGCGCGGGTTTATGTTTCTTTGTTATTCTTTTTTAGAGCAAGAGGGGAGCTAAGATGTGCTTAACGATAATTATTCTGAACTTCAACCGACTTTCCATTTCCCGAGTCACACCCACCAACAAAACAACTCTTTAGGTTAGGTCGAAAAAAGTTTTGCAACTTTATGATTCGATCCAATGTCTTGCAGCGAAAGTAATTGTTTGTACAACCCAAAAATTTTTATAGTACCCGGTTTTGCGTTTCAATTGTGATTTTTATTTTACTAAAATTAAAAATTGTTAATTGGTTTAATTCACCCAAAATAAAATAAAATCGGTACAAAGGGGGGGATGTTGTCCGTGTATTTGTTTGTTTAATCTTTTATTTAAATTCTTTTTAATTTGTATCTACGTGTAACCAATTAAAGTTAAAATTTGCTCCCCCTTAGGGTAGCCTTTTTTGTAAACTTACTAGGTTAATTTAATTGACCCGTTTTTTAATTTTTCGTTCACGTTCTCTCGCTCTCGCGCCGCCCAACCAGGCTCCCTACCTAGTTTAACCCCTACGAAGGTAGACAAGTTGCGGGGGTCGGTTCTTCTTAAAACCAACGGGCCCCCTTCCCAACCAAACAAACCGGACGGCGACGGACCTTCGTTGTTTCCCTGTTTTTGGTCACCTTGCGTTTAGGTTATATGTCATGCCAACAGTCCGTTTCTTTATAATACCACAAAAAATCAACCAAATGTCCTTAATTTACCCCGACGTCGGAAGGCCTTAGGAGGAGGGAAATATAGTTTTATATTTTTGGATTTTGTTTATAGTGTTAATAGGAAAAGTAAAACGGTACGTAAATTTTCGGTTTTTAACGGGGGACGCGGTAAATTTATCGTACTTTTTTTATGAGAAAAATACTAAATAAATTCGGTTACGTTTTTGAGATGTACCAAAAATGTAAATAAAAAATTCTAAATTTTTAGGTTTAGTCGTTATGTTCAAAGTCCTAAAGGCTGCGAAGAAGTAGGCTTTTTCCTTATTATAGGTTGAATTGTTGGTCTTCCCCCCCAGGTCGAAGGGAAAAACGTCCCTAAGCTAACCCTGCACAACCCTTATTGCCGGCTCTGTTGGTCGTTAGATGTGCCCCTCCCACCTTCCTTCTTCTTTTCTTTTATTGTTTTATTTTACTTTGAAAAATTTAAAATTGCTCGAGTTAGTAGGACCGTCAAGGACTTCCTTCACAACCTCGAACTTCTCAGGGAGGAGAAATCGGCGGAGCTGCAGCTGAGAAAAGATTGAGTGTGTGTGTGTGTGTGTGTGTGTGTGTGTGTGTGTGTGTGTGTGTGTGTGTGTGTGTGTGTGTGAGGAAGTCAGTGGATTGGTCCATTTGGACCAATCCACGGACTTAACGTAACGGCTCCGCGGACATAACGTAACGGTTCCACGGATTGGTCCATTTGGGTCGTCGTTACGTGACATAGTACCAGGAAGAAAAAGAGAAATCTCCAATGAGGCATTCTGGGGCAGCATAGACAGGTATTTTCTGTGTTAAGAGTTTTTCTCGCTACAGGGTGTACTTTCAGGGTTTGTGACTTTGCAGACCGTTTACATGCATAAAAACCTTAATAACACACAAGAGGACGGGTACCAGAAAAGCATGACATGGGACCTTTAATACAATTATTCTGGCCCTTAAAAATATGACAGCACCAAGTGTCTAGAACTACTCTTAGTTTTACATTTTGCAGTTCAGGACTAATGAGCCACAATGTAAAGTTTTCAAAGATTAACACAATAATAAAAGTCCTTTTGAGAAAAATCTAACAGAACTAAAAATAAAACTAGTGTTTACTTAGCATAAACCTGACTTCTGTGTATATTTGATCACTGTGTTATGCTGTAGTTTTACACTTCTAATCACACTGAGATATAAAGTCTTTAGAGTGAGTCACTGTAGAAGAAAAAATGCTCTTCCCTCACTGCAGACAGAGTTATCAGCAGGCAGGCACATGAAGGCAAAGGTTCTTTCTCCACATTATCCTTTCTTCATATTCTGACTGTGTTTCACCTCCAAGTCCACTGCTCTGATCAGAAATAACTAAAGGAGACAGACGGAGTGAGTTTAAGTCTTCCTCTGCCCTGTTGGATCTTCACTGTTGTCTTAACTCATGTCCATAGAATCGGAATGTTTTGTCACTATGGCAACACCTTTGTTTACTTCTCCCAGAAATTGTTTTTAAAGTTTTTATACCTAGTTGATATCCTGTTACCAAATAACTATTCTACAGGGACCTAGAGATCACCTGAATCTAAGGTAGGCTGTTTACACAATATCTTATTGAGTTTTCAGGAGACTCTCAGTCACTCTGACAATTCCCTCCTCAGTGACAGCAGTTTACTGGCAAATACTAGCTAGTGTAGCAAGTGTGAGAATGGTTTAACTGTAACTTAGTGTGTGATCAGTGGCTTTTGTTGGGTTAATATTTAGTTAATATTAAGACATAATACACCACTTAAAGGGATGTTTTGGTTGAAGCAACTGTATACAAGGTTAATGGAGATGATAGTTGACAGTTTAGTTTTAATGACAGTTGTTTTGTGTTGCTCACACTGAGGCGACAGGTGCATCATGGGGCCGGCACGCTGCAGGGTACCTGGTGACAACACCGGCTTAGGCATATATCCGAACTGTCAAAGGCTGCAGAAAAGAGATGAAAGGTATGGAGGGAGGGAGAGATACACACAAAGCCAGGGAAAGTCACAGACACTTTGGTCTCACTGACTGAGAGGAATGACAAGGAGAGGAGAGGGACTCAATGAGAAAGTCACACAGATGTTGCCTTAGCATTTGATGGGGAGATACAGAGAGGAGAGGGAGGGTGCAGTGAAGGATGGGAGAACTTTGTGCTGAGTAAAGACACTGGCTTCTCTTTTATTCTCTCTCATGCCGAGTTTGAATTTTTTTTTTCCAACATTGAGCTCAGGTAAAAGCAGGGATACATCTCTGAGTTGGCCTTTTTTTTTTTTAACAATTTCCTGTATATTTTTAGAGAGCAGGTGGTGTGCTATTTCTTTGAAATACGTACAAGATGACAACGTTAAGAATAATCTAAAGTATAGTTCTGTAAAAAAAGACCTAAATTCAATGCTTTCTTCCTTCAAAGACTATCATGGCAAATATTCAGCCTGGCTGCAGACATACGCTTTAATAAATTATTAGTAGCCTTCTTCTCTTTTCTGAATTGGTTCATTTAAAACTAGTTTGACTTTTCAAGGATATACTTTAGAATAAAAACCAGGAATCGACCACAATGGGATTAAGAGGTTATGGTAATTGTGTGCAGGGAGAGATGCAGAGAGGCAAGGCCCCCCCTTCAAGGAGAGCTGAAATTCAGCATCTGTATCAAACCTACTCCTCAGGACAGACTATCTTACCTGCCTGTGCCCTCCTCCGTTTCCTCCACAAAGAGCAGAACGAGCTCACAGCCAATGAAGAGAAGGCAGACAGTTTGATTGATAGATATGAGATTGAAGAGACAGGTAAGCATAGGGAGAGATGTGTACCATGTCAGGCTGCTTCTTCATAACATTTGTAAAAACACATCCACTCTTAAAGGCTTTGTCATGTGATGGTGCTAAATGAGTTAAAACAGAAGTCAAGGATTAAGCTTCAATGATGCCAGGCGGACAAAGTGATTTGCTGTAAATCGTGAGGCAGGGGGTGGGAATGATAGAAGGAAAATGGAAGATTTGGGCACGTCTGTGGACTAGTAGACCAGATGTTTCTAGGGCCCAGTGTACTGCTGGCTAATTCACAGCATCACAAACAACAGAAGGAAGAAAAACAACAAGACAAGTTTCACGTCTGGGCTGCAACTAAACCATATGTTTTCACTTAGGACAGAGTTTCGAGAAGAAGTTTTGAGCTTTTAAAACGCCTCGTGGGGAATTCATCTAAAATGTAATTCAGCTGAATGTAAACTGACATCTAAACTTCAGAATGTACGCCAGTTCACATATTATCTCTTAGTTCAGCCAACTTTAAGAAACCTACATTTTTAACAGCAGACATTTTGACTTTGACAGAAAAGTTACAGTTAAAATAAATTATCTTAACAAGGTTTTAGTCCAGTATCAAGCATCAAAATATTCCACAACAGTGAGCCAGCTGCACAATACCAAGCACCAAAAACTAGTTTACTGTCGTTTTTAATGTTAACTATTACACCTGAGACTATCATGTTAAAAGTAATTCAGCTATCTGCTATGTAAAAATGTTGATTTTCAGAACAGTGATTTCATATTTCTTACACTACCGATCCGTGGGAGTTGATTTGATTGATGATTCATTTTAATTGTAATGTTAATCTTGCCAAGTCTCATGGTTTACTGAAGTTGTTGCTCCATTTTGAAGAAGCTATATGCTACACTAGTGGCTATAATAATATGTAACTGAACCGTTGGATGGATTGCACTGACATTTTGTACAGACATTAATGGTGCCAGAGCATGCATCCCACTTTGGTGGTTTATGACTAAATACCAGGAAAACTAATGACGTTCCGGTCAGCCTCAGCTGTGCAATGTGTTTAGTTAAAATAATCAGACTTTAGCATTCTAACATGCTAGACAAAAATAGTGAACATGTTAAGTGTTATTCCTGCTAAACATTGCCATGGCTGCCAAACACAGAACGTTAGCATAGCATTGTGTCATCTGCCTCACAAAGTTACTGGCATGTCTAGACTCTTAGCTTAGATATTAATTTGATTTGTTTTAATATTTCAAGACAAGGATAGAGCTTTTGTTTTAGATGGCTGGTGTAGTCTTTAACCAATGCTGATTTTAAATTGTCGCTAGAAGTGGTACTCTGCTCAATCCTTCTCTTCCAGCCAGAGAAAGCAGATCCATGACATTTGAAGGATTCCTGAGATACATGGAGTCTAAAGACTGCTGTGTGTTCGACCAGGCCCACACTTCTGTGTATACATCCATGGACCAGCCTCTCACCCATTACTTCATCTCCTCATCTCACAACACCTATCTGACTGGAGATCAGATAGTAGGAAAGAGCCATCTGGATGCCTATGTGAGGTAGGAATACAGGATTAATCTGTATATGAAGCCAACATTTACTAATCTAATGGAATCTTTATAAAGTATTTAATTTATCTGCTATTTAATTTAAGTCAACACTACTGATAAGGCCAATTTAAATCACCATTTAGCTCTGATATTGATCTAAAACAGCTCTCTATTCCTTTCTTTCGAAGGTCTCCCCAGACCTACATGTGTGTTATCAGGATTCTCTCATTTCATTGACCCACTCATGCTGAGGCACAGTGAAATTGCTGTGGTCCCTTTATGGGACAATGGAGGTGATTACAAAAGGGGCTGATGGAAGCAGAAGTGCCGTATTTATGGTCCCTGTGAAAGTGCTGAGCGCTGAGGCCGGCTGGTGGAGTGAAACCCTCCAATACAGCGGCCTGGCAGCCGGGGTTTACTTCGATAATGAAATGATCATAGAGAGGAGAACGAAGTGGCAGGAGTAAAAAAGTGTCCATCCCATCCATCTCACAGGTGGGAGGGGGAACAAAATGACCACAGTTATTTGTTGGATAAAGAAATAAAGAATTCACAAGAGCCTATATGCTGACAATGAAACTTAAGCATGCAGATTTGTTTATGTTAATAATCAAATCACGGTAATTTTTTGTTGTAGATTATCAAAATATGATTGAATAAGAAACAGTCTGACATTATTGTCTAACTCGGAGGATGAAGATAGCTTTTTTTTTCTCAACATGCTTTCCACATTAAGCTGTACAATTCAAGAAAACGATAAAAAAAAAGGATTTAATAGAGAAGACAAATTACAAAATAGCCAAAATGTAATGAGATTAAATAAACTAGATCAAAATTAACCTACCAGATGATTTACCCAAATGCAGACAGCAATCATATTGTGACAATATGATGCTACTTTGTTCACAATTGCAATGTTTTTTTCAAATGCAACTCTGCCATGTATGAACTAAGAGCAATACGATCATAATGACATTTCTGTGACCAAAGAGAAAGAACAGCCTGGACTCTCAACTGTTGAAGAAACTCACAGCAGACACACATACAAGTGTGTCATCATAAAATGGCAACAAGCTTGGGAAAAGATTGGATTTACCAACAAGCAGAAATATTCCAGAGTTAAAAATCCAGGGTGATATAACTTTGCATCAGGGTTGCAAGAAAATGTATCATTGCCCGCACGCCTGCTGTGAAAGTGGTATCACTTCTGTCCAATTCCAAGAGAAAGCCACATGAATAATCAATATCAGCACCAAGACAAATTCTGTACTGCATAAACTCGACCATATTTTTTTATGCACAGAAAGCAGAGAAATGGAAAGCACAGAAATGGAAATGTAACAGCACCATTTAAGGAGCAGAAGCAGAAAAAGCTGTTTTCATAAATAATGACAGTGCAATATTTGTGATACATTATTTATTACCATGTATTATGTACATTATACTTTGCAGCAATTTGTCATATGCATAAGAGTGGTTATGACGGCTTGAATCTGCGTGTTGAAAGGAATCAGCTAATTTCAAATTCCTCACGCTGTATAAGTGCTTATCTTAGTTTCTACAGCTCAGTGTGTGTGCAAGTGTCTTTATATGCGTCAGGCGTTTATGTGTGTGTGTGTGTGTGTGTGTGTGTGTGTGTGTGTGTGTGTGTGTGTGTGTGTGTGTGTGTGTGTGTGTGTGTGTGTGTGTGTGTGTGTGTGTGTGTGTGTGTGTGTGTGTGTGTGTGTGTGTGTGTGTGTTTGTGTGGCGCAGTGCTCTGAGGAAAGGCTGCCGCTGCCTGGAGGTTGACTGCTGGGATGGGCCGGATATGGAGCCTGTAGTCTACCATGGCTACACCCTGACCACTAAGATACTCTTTAAGGACGTCATCACCACTGTGGAGCAACATGCCTTCGAGGTAATATGTTGTATGTTACATGATGTAAATTTCCGGCAGTGGTGCCTCGGGCGTCTCATTCAGTGGAAGCTCCTGCTTCTGTAGCCTCTGGGAGCCTACATAAAAACATTTGCTCTAATTAATAGCCTCTCTGATCAAAATGCTTTGCCTGCAAGTAGTCTTTGATTCAGTTCATTTATCTGTGATGTGTCGGGAGAATTAAGAGCCTGCAGAGAAAGCAGACAATCCAGGTTGATGCTAATTCTTGGAAATTGTGATTCCTTTTTTGATGTGATTATTTCTTGAAAGGTGTCTGCCTACCCAGTGATCCTGTCGTTAGAAAACCATTGCTCTAAGGAGCAGCAAGAAGTCATGGCCAAGTACCTTGTCTCTATCCTGGGGGAGAAGCTGCTGAGAGCTCCCTTGGATCACCTGACCACTGGAGACCTCCCAAGCCCCAACGTAAGAGCTGAGAGTGGTAAATCTGAAGCAAAATCTGTGTTTTATTTCAGAGCTATAAATAGATAGTGTTTGTATGTCTAAATCATCATCGCCTGTCATGGCAAAGCAAAACAAGGAGAAAATAAGACCTTTCGGAGGTCACTAAGGGCCTCATTAGTCTCTGACTGAGCCTTCCTGTGCCTCTCCTCCTCTGGGATGCAGGGGTAAATGGACGCCTGGATTTTGCAGGGCTCTTTAATCTCAGGGATTCAAAACATGGAATGTGAGGTAGTTGATCATGGAGAGTGTCCATTATTTTGAACATGAAGAGGTCCTTGAGCTGATTGTTCATTTACTGATTACCCTTTTTGGGTTCTGAATCTGAAAGCGTCTGCCCCGACACTTCACTGAGCGACTGGCCTGAAACATGCAGGGAAGTCACTCCAGTCTATTGAATATGAAGAGGAGGATGAAGGGTTTTTTCTCTGCTAGGGGATGAATGTGCGCCGTCTCTACGGAGTTTTTCTTTGCTGCTTCTGCCTTCTACTGCTTGGGATTTTGCTGCAACTAATGAGTTGTGTTTAATCCTGAGTGTGCATATAAGATTTTCTTCCCCATTCTATCTATCGTTCTTTATCGTTGTGACTCAGGAAGTTGGGGCTCAGATAGGAGCCCCAGCACTAATGGTCTCATCTTCACTGTTAACCCCCCAGCAACTTAAACCGAATCAGAGTTCATGTGCAACATTCATGCAGCTTCACACCCAAGTTACCATCCAATTATGAAAGTGCTACTGATATAAAACTCTGAGAACTCTTCATTACCACATACTCCAATCTGACCACTTAGATCAACGGTTTGGAAATCAGTTATTACTCTACTCTGTTCTATTTTTACAGTAAACATGGGCAAAATCATCTCCTAAATTACATCAGCACAAGCAAAGCCTCTGTTCCAGCCCTCCTATCATTTAGAGTAACTGCAGGAAGGAAGCTCTGAATCGTATAATTTCCATGCTATATGGACTCCTAAGGGTTGTTAATGTTAGCAGAAGTGTAATTATTTTGCATATTTTGCCTGTGCATACAGAGAAGTTGACAGCGTTACTTCCTGCCGTTTGGCTCACCGTGGAGCTGCTTCCAGGTCCAGAACATAATGTTGATTTGTTTTTCCTTTTACTTCTAGCATATTGCAGCTCATCTGCATAAGGTGCCCTATATGGTAAAAGCAGATTTTAAGACTGGTGGTGAAATACAGCAGCATATGTGTGATCCACCTGCTGCGCATATGTACTAATGTGGATTTGGCAACAGAGTGACTCTTTAAAGAATACATATATCAGAGAGTAGGCAATTTTTTTATGTTTGTTTCCTAAGTTTGTGGATGCGGGAACAGGGACAGTTTGAAGTTTGTTTGACTGATGAAACAGTGTGATGAATGAAGGTGCCTATGATTAAGGTACCATTGCTTTATTCACGTTTGAACTCATGCTCTATGTGTATTTGTGCTGGAATAACAGGACCTGAAGTATAAGATCCTCATCAAGAACAAAAAGCTTAAGCCTCACATTAACACGGAGGGCCCATCATGCACAGAGACAGAGGAGAGTGTAGATGAGGGCGAGGAGGAAGATGAGGATGAGGAGGACGAGGATCTTCAAACCAAAGCAAAGTTCTGGTCTTCCAAAAAGTTAAAGATAAAAGTAAGTCAGTTAGATTTAGGAAAAGCTCTCTAGTATACTGCAATCATAAGATGATAAAAGGTACGGTTTAACTCTTGTATTTTATACACTTTGCTGCAATTTGGTGAACACACCCTCTGTCTTCCTCTCTACCCTAAATGTGACGAGTAGAAGGAGAAGGTGGCAGTAGCAGAGGCTTTATCGGACCTGGTGGTGTACACCAAGTCTGTGAAGTTCATCAGCTTCAGTCATTCAAAGGACAATCAGAACTACTGCGAGAACACATCAATGGCAGAGAAGAAAGCGCGCAAGCTAGCCAAAGACTCAGGTAGAATCTTTTTTATGGAGTTTAAATGATGGGAAGGAAAAAGAGGAAGCCCGGCTGTACAGTAATAAAGACAGTGAATAATGGATTAAGTATTACAGAATCTAATTCTGATGAGCACAGCAGATTCACATGATTTAAAATGACATTCAGCTCAAAGGAGAAGTCTCAGTAGATCGTCTTTGGACGACAAATGCAATTACATCTCGTGCCATAAACTTCTTTAATTGCGAAGGCATATTGAACATGACATATGCGAGATAGGGGAATACTTTACAGGGAATAAAGCAAAACAGCACAAGCCCAGAAATGTGCATTATGCGCTCACTGTTGGGGAAGTGGAGGAGCCCACAGAGGCTCGAATCAACTGATAATCAGTTAAACTGTCATCATGCTTCGGTGCGGCAGTATGTTAGAGAAACTGCGATGTGGAGAAAGGAAATCTGCTGCTGCAGAGGAGGAGTGACATTTTACAGACATACAACTGTATTACGAGCTTGTAGGAAGGGAGCATGAACAGCCTCGGCAATCTAAAAATCGTGTAGTCTCTTGTCATCCTAAAGCCCTGCAGGGAAACACACAGCCTGCTGCGATCACACAAACGCTGAAGCTGTGTGCATCTTTTTCTCTAGTCTATCCAAGTGGATACAATTATACAGGCTTTAGAAACCTGATCAGGACAAACGACTTGATCTTTTTCAGGTATTTTCTCAACATTTCCATTTGACATTAGGCTTAAGTTAAACGATGAATAATACTCATGTGATCCTTTTTCACTGATCAGTACAGTTAACAAAAAAGAGTCAAGAATCATATACGTAATGTCAACATTTTCAGAAAACGGAAATTTGTATTATTGGAATTATTAAAGGGGCCCTATAGTGCTTTTTCCTTTCCTGTAGTGTGTTATATAGTTTTTTTATGCATGTAAATGGTTTCACTCCCACACACTCCCCACTGCCTGAAACGCTTCCATTGTAGTCCTTTGTTTACTTCCGTAACACTTGCGATCTATTGGCTAGAAATCCAACACATTGTATGTGATAGGCTAAGGGGTGGGACATCTCTAAGCGGTTGACCAATCACAGCAGAGCCGGCCAGTTTACCAGTCAGAGCAGACTGGGCTCTGGTTTGAGACAGAGGGTGTCTGGTGTGGATGGTATCATGGGAATGATATCTGTATAGGCTTAAGCTGTGCACTGTGTCATTATTGTGTCAGAGGAGACATTTGACCTGTGATTGTTGTGCGTCCTCTCTCAGCTGCAGCCTTTGCTCAGCACAACCAGAGGTTCCTCAGCAGGATCTACCCCGCAGGCTCCAGGACGTCGTCCTCCAACTACAACCCTCAGGAGTTTTGGAGTGTCGGCTCACAGCTCGGTGAGTCGGAGAGGGCGAGTTTATGCCTGCCCTGTGTGCAAACAGAAGGCATGACGTAAAGGTTCATAATATGCTCACATGCATATACACGCATACATTTATTATAAGTATGACTTAGAAAACAATGCTGATTCCACCTTTTTGTAAAATTGCAACACATTTCCAAACTTAGAAGATTAATGCTGAACAATATGGATTATTTATATATTTTGTAAAGGATTACATTTTTCCTTCATTTTTATTTTCTTCAAATTAATCAGCTAAACTAATTGTAAGTAACTTCGTATATTAATTTAACTATTTTTGATTCCTTTTTTGTTGTTGTTAAGATTGAAACCCTAAATTCAATTCAAAAAGGTAATGAAAGATAATGAATTGAATTCCCTTTGTGTGAGCAGTTTCAATAACAATCACAAAAGTTCTCCACACACTGAGCAACCAGCACAATTAATTATAAGCTTTAGAAATGAACAGAAGTGCAGCCAGAAACTCAGAATTGCCAAATTTGAAAAAGGACAACCTGTCCAAGTGTCCTTTCGATAAGCAGTGAAAAGAACATTTCATTCCAGTTCACAACCTGAGCACCTCATCTGTGTTTGCCCCGAAGCAAGTCCTCTCCTGGCCCTTATCACACATTTTCTAAATTGATTTGCACTCCCTGTGTATTTTTTTTCTCACTCGCTTTAAACTCCATCCTTGTCTGGGTCACAGCATTATTTTTTTTTCGTTTTCATTTCTTTAGAGTCAAGCCCTATAATTGGGCTTGACTCAACATGACTGTGCTCCTGAGAGTATACTAAATTCATTCATGAACTTGACATCCTCAAGCCTTCTGGCAGTGCATGATTCCCCCTGAACTTAAAGTCACCACCCCTCTCCGTCTGGCACTTCCCTGGCTGGTGTGCCTGTCACCTCGTCTGTCTTTACATGCGCCTCATCCGTCTCCATCGCTCAGTCAGCCAGACACTGATTCTGACACGCAGCGCTGCTGATCGCTGAGCACACCGTCTACGTGCTCCGGTGGCAGCTGTGCAGATGGTGAGACCTTTTCACAGTTGCAGGAGACTGCGGTACAAAGCATCGGAGCATCAGAATACATGAACACAACATTCACTGGGACCCTTTCACATGCACCTATATACAAAGATTTAGAAGGTAGCATTGCAGGGCTTTGTTAGGACAAAACTAAAAGTGTTTTCCATCATTTATCCATGTCGACTCACAAGTGCAAAATCCAATCCAGCAGAGATATATGATATGATACGTGATACATGCCAAAACAGAGCTTTGCACTCCAGAAGACTCACTACAGGCGCACTTATTGCACAGTTGGTGATTTAGAATGCGTCCCTGATGCAATGTACGCCATTGTTGAGGAAACTTTTAAAGTTATGGTATAATTTAGCTCCCTCCTGCAGAACAAGAGCCTTAAAAGAGAGAAGGTACGCAGGAGATCATCTCACGCTGTTCGTTGCATTTTAACAAGCTTTAAGGTATTCTTAACTGTTTTTTACAAAAATAATACATCCAATTTTTTTCAATGTCCCATGGTGTTTTTCAGTGGCTCTCAATTTCCAGTCTCTGGGCATGCCTATGGACCTTAATGACGGTCGTTTCCAGGACAACGGGGGCTGTGGATACGTCCTGAAGCCGCCCGTGCTCATGTCCAGTCAGGAGAGCTTTGATCCCAGCCTCAAACCCACACACCTGCTGCTCAAGGTACAGCCATGAAACCCCGAACGCTCAGTAATCCACTCAGGACGGATTTATGGATTAAGGTGTAATGTTAATGTTGTAATGTTGACTGTGTGTGTGTGCATGTGTGTGTTTGTCCATGCCTCACAATATACCCAGCTTGTCCTACTCTCAGCCTGAAGATAAATGCTTTCCTGCCGGATGCTGTGAACCAGCAATAATGTAAATCTCCCTTGAGAGTGTATGCGTTTAATTAGATTATGTCCCTCAGAAAGTTAAGGCAATAAAGAAATAAGGGTGATATAATGCAATTAGACCTGGGGCACAATTAATAAATCATTATTTTTAGCATATTAGGGGACAGTAATAGCAGCACTTTTACTGAATCTTAGCCACATAACAATGGATGAATGAAGCTGTAAAGAACAAAGTCACATCTCTTTAGTGTGCCATCAGGAAGACTGTCACACACTAACTCTTCTAAGCCCAATTATGGAGATACAACGGTTCCCTCTTATGTAAAACATTATTGTGGGACTTAGAGACATCCAAGGCTTTGTACTGCAAAGACAATATGTGGAATTGCCTGGGATCACATGGGACTCATACAGACGTACAGCAGAGGAGGTCGACGAGGGAATCATAGTTACTCTGCCCGAATCAGAGTGGTATGAACAGCTACTGTATGAATCATAAAGAAAATCCCTCCTTCAGAATTACAATAACTGACCTTTAAAATGACTGCAAATGTGTTTGTTTTTCAATTGGATCTGCAGCTATTTCCTCAATTGATTTAGCTCAGTCAGTATTGTAGTTGTTAACCTTTTACAGATATTAAATATGATGCTAAAGCCTATCAGACAGTATTTCAACTTGGTGTTGCTGTTTTCTGATGAAGGATATACCAGACAACCGTTCATGAGGATGCATACACTCAGTACATCACACTTCTTCTAAAGGAGTATGCACACACATACACTTTTCACCTTCAGAGCAAAGTGCATGAAATATAAATGTGGTGTGCTCCTTTTTTTTGGTACCCTGGGATAAACCCTACCTATATTTATTCACCTCATCATTCTGCATTATTTGATCACTTCAGGGAAAATCCTGCAATCTTGACTCAGCTCTGAACTCAGAGTCACAAGGAGCAGTCAGTGGTAGAACATAGAGTGTTGAGTTTTCAATCTTGAAACGGTAAATTATTCATCTGCTCAGGAAAACAATATTTTTCCCTTGAGCTCTCATGAGCCTGTTTAGCATAACACTGTCAACTACAAACAATGGACAGCTTTTCAATACAAATTGCAAGTCATGTATGAATTATAACTGCAAACTGTTCTTTACCGTTGTAACCGTTGATGAGCAAAATGTATGCTCTTTGTAGAGAGGAATGGGACTGTAATTTTGGTCCGGACACTGTAAAGCTCCATCAGTGGCAAGCCGGGCATGTCGTGATAAGTACATGCAGGTTGTCTTTGATCAGAGCCGGGGAAGGGAAGGCTCAGTGTGAGAGGACTGCAGATAAGCCAGCCTCTCTCCAGACTTGTGTAATTACAGCCCTCTCCCCTCTCGTCTTTTTTCCACTCTAACTGGCACTCCTGTTTTCTTATTTGTTGTATCATGTACTGTTTTTATTCCTGATAACAATTACATTCTCAAACACGCCCTGTGTGACCACCAGCACTGCATGTATGTGTTTCTCCACAGGTGTTCAGCGGGTCCAACTTACCCATCTCCAGGAGTGGAAAAGCTCTGGACTCCTTCGTCACAGTGGAGGTTTATGGGACCTCATCTGACTCAAACAGAAAACACACACACACTGTCAAAAACAACTGTAAGTACTGAAACACCAACTGTATGTGACCTTGTTGGGAGATCAAGATATATCTTGATTGTTCCACCTTAATTTTTTAACTCTTATATGTTTTTCCCTTCATTTTTGTATCATTAATTATGTTTTCAGAAGCTAAAATTCGTTTTTGGGGTTTGTGAGCCGTAATTCGAATTATTCTGAATTTGGAAATTGCATTAATAATGGAAGATTGGGAATAGAAACACCAGACAAAACTAAAGACAGTCTAAAGTCATACTAGCAGAAATGGGAGGCTGCAATAGGCACAGCAGTGCTTTAGGCTAATTGAAAAATTGGCATGATTAGAAGCCAAGAAGGACAAAGCATGCTGATGTTGAGCAGATATGTTTACCATGTTGGCTTAGCAAATTATAACTAATGCTAATTAGCAATACATACATACTGCAGCAGAGGCTATTTGAAATGACATTCGTTTTGGAGGTATTTGGTGATAAAACAAAGTGTTTTGTGAGAACATGATGGGTATCAGCATACTGTAGGGCAATGTGTCTAATCCTTCAAGGAAACACATGGAAATCACCATATCTGGATTTTTGTTAGTTTTCTATGACAGCATTTTTATATTTCCTTTTAAATCTATTTTCCAGTAAGCTGCAGAGGCTTCTGAGGAGAAGTGTGCTGATGAGTTTTTCAAAAATGTAGAAGTGGATTTCCTTTGAAGAGAAGTCTGTCATGCACTATGGCTATGACTGGAAACATGGAGCTGACAGTCACTGCACACAGGAGGAAGAGCTACAGTGATTTTATAACCATAAGACCAACATCAAAATGACTATTCACTCTTTTTTAATGGTGACAAATGTGAAATTGACTGTTTGGCTCCACAATTTACGAATTTAGTGCACAAAACGGTCACCAGACTTATCCATTTTGGAGGTTTATCCTACAGGTGTCCTAGTTTTTGACAGATGACTCAAATTTCAAATGATACTCACTATAGAAAATACAGTATGTTGCATTTTACTCTGGGCTTGTGTTTTTGAAACTAGCACCATAAAAATGAATATAATATCAAGAGGAAATTGATGAGATACAACAGTGTATTGTTGAGGGAGGGAGGGAGGTGGAGGGTGAGATAGTAAAGGTCCTAGAGGGCGCAGAGAATTTATTCATGGGCATAAATCCTAAAATCATTTCAAACTATGTAACAGATAAGGTCACTGTTGGAAATGAATGAATGTGGGTTTGGATACAAATTTGAATGTAACAGGGGAACTCGGGAAAACATTTTTTAATAAGAAAAAGATTGAGAACTGCAGCAGGGATGACTCATCAATTGTCTACATGTGCTCTACTCATCTATCATTGTAAAATTGCAACACATTTTTTTTTCTGTTGTGGGTCTGATAATCATTTATTTATTTACTCTCCGGATACCAAAGTCATTTGTCGGTCAGCTCCACACTTTAGTCCGGACTGATTTGCAGACGTTCAGTCCCCTGCAGGATGAATTTTAATAACTTCATAGATTTACTTTTTCTCCCTTACCAAGCATGTCTGACTATACATTTAAATACCAGATAAAACTAATATCATAACCATCAGTATGTACTTTGTGTTTGGTACTAATTAGCAAAAGTTAGCATGCTTAAATGCTTGACTAATATGGTGAACATGTTAAATATAATACCTGGTAAACATATAAGTATAAGGTCAATAAGCACCAAGTGCAGACTCACATAATTGCTAGCATAACTGTTGGTATAGTTTAACAATAAGCTAAGACAATATTTCACACCAGAACCCCTCTGACTCGGATTCTTACTCTTACTTTGTGGAATATAACACTTTCTGTATTTGAAACTAAAGAATGTATTATTTTAAATATCACCTTCTCAAAACGATTTTTTTTTAATGCAACTTCTTTATAATAGTGTCTTTTCTTACCTACAGTTAAAAGCTACAAACACAACACTGACATGCTACTACCATAATCACCCTATAAGGTGGTAAACATGGGTTAGCGTTCATTTGGATTTGTGTTTCTGGCCACCAGGTGAATATGAGATGAATATTTGCTCTAAATTGGACCACCAGCTCCTGAGAAAAATATCTTATCGTTCAGCTGCTACTTACTACACTATGTTCATCAGCTACATGAATTGCTTACTAAGGATGTCTAATTATGGCCTTTTAATGTACAGTTGATTTTTAAAATAGTTTCACTAAAAATAACTTCCTGGCCCAGTGAACCATGGCAGTAAAACTTGGGGCCGTAAATCCAAAACAATCAGTTAAAAAATACATAAGGGTTGTGTGATAATTCTCTGTTGGTTCATAGGAGTGAGACCTTTGACAATACAGATGGTAATTCAACCCATTATTGATTTGAGTGGCTTTAACTAAACCCAATGATGCTTATTGATTCTAACAAACTGGTTGCTTCTCATTACCCTCACAGCGCTGAGTCCTTACTGGGATTCTGACATGAACTTCAGCATCAGCGTCCCTGAGCTCTGCCTCCTCCGCTTCTGTGTCAGAGAGCAGACCGGCCTCCTCAGCAGTGAGTTTGTAGGACAATACACGCTGCCCTTCACCAGCCTGAAGAAAGGTGAGCCACAGAGACAGGGGTGGGGGGTTGGGAGTCAGACAAAGGGCTAAATTACATCAGGTGACATTGTGTGACCATCATTGTATTTCCTCTCACTCACTGTCAGCATTCCTGAAGGTCGGCTGGGTTTAAATGGAAATGTTTCGGTGTTTTTGTATCATGCTGGTGTATTCAGGTGCTATACATACGTTTGTTTTCTCTCCCCCCCTTCCCCCTCCACCTCCAGGCTACCGATGGGTGCCTCTGCGCTCCCGAGACGGATGCAGCATGGATCCAGCCTCCCTCTTCCTCTTTGTTTGGTATTCCTAAAAGAAGCTCTCCATATCAAACACACACACCCTCCAACAGATAGAGAAGCGTGGCTGATGCAGCAACAACAACAACAAATATATAAATAAATCGAAAGCAACATTTTCTCAGATATAAATACCAGTTTTATTGTGAGAAAATACATGTGCCTTCTCTGCTGCAGAGAAAGGAAGCTGAAGGTTTCAGCAGTGCATAAAAGACACTCTAACGAAGGATATATCTCTGCTGGCACCACTCAAGTATTGAAGAAATCCCTGGAGTGGGATATTAGATTCTTATCATCATATCATTAATAATAGATGCAAGTGCAATTATTGTGGTAGAGTTGATCACACATAAGAAGAACCACGAAGCACAGAGTTGTTTGGGGGATTAATCATCTATTCCAAAACAATAGATGTTATTCCTCCATAGGTCTGAAATTGATAAGTGATGCCAGGATACATCAATAGTTTATGAGCACTACTATGAAAGAGTAGCAGAGTTTTCTTTCAAGCTTACTCCCCGTGAGTCCCAGCAGGAAATAATATAAATAGCATTCACAGAGGTATACATTATTGAACCAAATCCAGTGCGGAGGCCTTTTTTCTATCCTTGTTCATCGCATGAATGAGGCAAAGGAGTGCGGGTCAGTACGTCTGTCAAAAGGAGGATGGCATTACGATAACATGAAGACCTGCTAAAGCCTGGAAAGTGTGTGTGTGTGTGTGTGTGTGTGTGTGTGTGTGTGTGTGTGTGTGTGTTTGTGGAGGTGCTTCTCCAGGAGTATTTGAGTGGGCATGCAAGGTTATTCATTTGCATAATAATGTTTGAATGCCACTCATGGAAAGACAAATAATTGAGTGATACTGTATGGGGAGTGTTAACTCAGCCCCTAAGGCCGGATAAGCAGAGTTGTTGTCACCCTGCTCACACTTTCCTCACCCATCTCCCTGCCCCCTCACCCTCCTGCCTCCCATTTCCTTGGTCAAGGACATCCAGTTGACACAGCCCAAAGGGACACACACTCAGTCTGAGCAGGTATCACATAGACAGCCGCTAATAGCACCTCATCTTTCATCTGGCAGGGAAGATTGGTCATGACAGTCACGACCAAATACACAAGGACGGTTTTACAGTTTGAAGTAAAAGTGCATGCAAGTAGCATAATACAAATAGTTCCTTCCCTTCATCTGTCACCGAGGCCACATCCAAAAAATTGAGTAGTTAGAACATCTCCTTCATTTGTTTGACATTTAAAAATAAACACACAAGGTAAATGATGCTTCATGCAGTAAACGGTCTCCTTCCCTGAGTCACTCAGTTTTGTAACGTCATTAAAACACCCCATCCACTTCATCAGTGAGGTTACGTTGCATCTGATACATCTGTACACATGAGTGCGTAATTCCTCTGCTCATTCATAGTCTGAGAAATCTGTGGGTGGATCCTCCCCCTCAGTGTGGTGGCGCCCCCTGCTGGACGCGGACACACAGTGCAGCTCTGAGGTCAGATTGCACAGTTCCCCAGGGGAAACCAAGTCTCCTGGTCAAGCAGCTTCTCCTCCAGTCTGATGTTGGATGCACCCACAAAAGTCTTCTTGCTCTTCACTGTCACTTCCAGCACCATCCCATCCAGCAGTGGGACATCATGGTACTCTATCTGTGAATAACAGGTAGATATTTAGTTAATAGACAACTCTATTCACAAAAAAACACTAATTTGAGGATAACATCTATTTTAATATGTTTGAAAGGGTGTGAAAAGCTCCTTGTCAGAGTCCACAGAGTTGAACACATAATACATTAACACATTCACTCTAACTTTGTTGAATTGTTAAAACACTGAGTAAAAGCACTTCATCTCAATATATAAGTATCAGTTTATGTCTGAGAATTATATAGGGTTAAGTATTAGACAATACAGGCTGATTATAAAAACAATAATAATAAAAGGATTACATCTTTTAAATCAAAGGATAGTTGGGATATCATGGATAGAGAGAGAGGATGGAAGCTGTTGTGTACCAGTTCATTGAAGGTGGGATTGTCATTATTGCGGACCACCTTTGTCTTCTTCGTGCTGCTCTGCTGAGGGTCCGGCCTCAGACATGTAACCACGTAGGCGTCAGGGTTGGAGCCGTTTGCCAGCTTCTGTTGAAAACAGAAAAGGGAGGGCCTTCACTTGAGCACACACCGTAAGGTATTTACAAGAGAAAAAACATTTACCATATATTTCCCCCTCTTGTTAAATGATACAAACAATGCACTACCAAAAGTCAAGGAAACTCACAACGTTCTTCAGGTGTTTTACCAAGACCGAGAGCTTACAGTTCTTAGAGTAAGAGATCTTCAGCTGGATCTGAGGATGGGCTCCTGCAATAGATCAGTCCATCAGTGCCAGTGAGTTACAGCATACCATGTCATTTACTGTATATCCTCAGGATATTCCTCAACAAATAGCATAACAATCGATCCTCATACGTGTAACTGCACTTTGTTGGTTTGGGTTGGGGCCATCCAGGAACAAGCTGCACACAAACTCATTCTGCAAGTAACAGAGCGAGGCAGGTTTGCAAGTTAGAGCCAGTTATAACAAGAGATCACATTATCAACCAGTGGGGAGAGGAACTTACCCCCCTGCAGGGTCCCTCGAAAAGCTGCTTCAGGTATTTATTCAGCTGCGACATCCTCTTTGCCGGGGTGAATGACATATTGAACCATCTAGGAAACCTGTAAGGAAGAACACATGCATCAAAAAACTGAGGGAGAAAAAAAACAGTGCTTTCAAATGAATAACCATGAGACCTCAATGTGTATTTTCTTTCTTTACTCACTGAGGCAGCATGGATTCAATGAAGTGTTTCTGTAGCTGCTTATGGATGAGCTCAAACTGGCCAAATGTCATGTTACTGTTCAGATAACCATCATGAATGTTTACTCTCAGCTCATAGACCTGCAAATGAAACAAAACAAAAGGGGGATATTAGAGATGCTGTTGCACACGCACACGCTCAAAATATCTTTGAAAAGGTAGCTTGAGGGAAATGTTCCCATCAACGACCCGTAAGAAGCACTCCATTATTACAGTTGATTTTATTACCAGTTGTTCTATAGCTAAGAATATGAGATACATACAAGTGAACAACCTGATAACCCAGATATATTTAAAAATTATACCAATTTTGAAAACTACCCTCAGGTCTCAAGGGGTGCTACTATTAAAGGGTCACAACAGAGACGGCCAGCTAACCAATCAGAGCAGACCGGGCAGAATATGTCCTCTTGAAAGAAGTAACTATGTTTTGTGTTGCATTTCTAAAATGTACTTGCTGGAGTCGATCTTAAACATATTGTGGGAAATAATTGATGTGTATGCGTTTTGGTAACAAAACAAGCAGTAACACTTCCAAGCAGTTCAAATTAGGCATGATCAACCGGGAAACCATTAGTTACACCAGCAAGTAGAAACCTGAGTGCATGATACCTGTTGTTGGGGAAATATTTTCCAAAGCCCATAACTTTGACCCAGTTTATCAGTTCATACTCTCCTGACTGAGTACACGCACCTGTAACCTTGGCTGCTGTGCTCTCAGTGTTTTGTCTCCCTGTTCCTGCCTGTTGGCGTCAGCTGATAGAGGTGTTAAGATTCTATCTTGTTATGCACAATGTTGATTATTCTCTCTGAACTAACTAAATACATGGGTCTGGGGTAGAGTTCTTCAGAATTGACGTGGCAACTCTACCGTGAAGTCAGAACCTCTGGCTCTTGGACTTGTTTTGTGAATTCTCCGGCCGAAGCTCCAAAATAAACTATCAGTGTTTGACATCAAAGCTCCAGCTCACCCCGTGTCTCCTTCATGAGTCGGTGACTCCTCCTGCATTGCTACACAGAAGTTTTCCCCCACACCTGTGACTCTGATTAACTGAAAAGTTGCTCCATCTCTGCCACCAAACAGTACAACCTGACATCAGGAAGCGCAATCTGATCAAAGTGCAATACAATGCCAACACACATCAGTAACACTCATTACCCGACTCTGGGAAGTAAGATAAATACTTTTCAAACACAGCACTGCTGTCCCAACACAAACACACACAGTCAGATGAGTGCCAGGGGTTGTCCTCTTTAAACAAATACTGTATATGTGAACCTGCAGTGTGTTCCAGGTGTTTCATCAGCTCCCCTGGTTTGTGGTGCAATAGGCTCAACTTCTCTTCGGCATTTCGTTATGAAAATGCCCAGCGTTTTGGTTTGAATAACCACAGCACAAAGAGAAACATGCAGCCTCACCACATCTCTTCCCTTGACTCTGTAACTCTCGATGACAGCTTCTTGGATGTTGGTGCTGGGAGCGGGGATGCTGTGCCGGGTCCTTAGCTCTTGTTTCTTCCCTTGAGCCATGGTGTGTGTGAAAAAGTTGAACTTGACTGCAACACAGCCCATGCTTTCCTTGATCTTCCTACATCAGGATAGATACAAACCATTAGTAAAAGAATCAGATGAATACAGTGGCAGATATAAGTAAGAGAGAGGCCGGATGTTTGCTTGTGCTGCATTAAATTACTTTGTGAAGTAGGATGTGGCCTCCAGGTCCGTGTCATGAGGTCTGAGGTTGTTCTGGACATACTGCAGGTCGTTCCAGTCCTTCAGTTCTGGCATCCCTGCAGTTAGCATCTTCAAAACACACCATGATTGAGAAGGTGTTTTATGTTGTGTTATTTATTCTCAGATATGGCTTGGAGGTTGTTACTGTGATGATGAAAGGTCTTACCAGCTCCAACAAGCTGAGTATGAGTGCCGAGCGTTTTCTGATTATGTTGTAGGCTTCACAGCAGAGCTCCACAAAGCGATGCAAGCGCTGAGGCTTCAGCCCCCCGCCTGTGATGAAGTGCTGCATCTCAGATGTGAAGATGAATGGTGATCGGTCCCTATCATTGCAAAAGAGATATTTTCTATGATTCCATACTTTTCTGTCTCCCATTGCTGCTCAAACAGTCTTTTCTCTTTCAGAATGCTGCTTCTTTATTGACTTGCCTTTTAACGTTCGCAAACTTCTGTGCGTTGCCCATTATCTTTCCAAAGTCGATGTGAAACATGTGTCCACTGTGTCTCAACATGATGTTGTCATTGTGGCGGTCACAGATCCCCAGGATGAAGGTGGCCACACACCACCCTGCACACGAGTGGATGAAGTTTAACACAGCCTGCACATGCACAGCAGGAGGGTGTTACATAAGTTACAAAACATGTATTAAAGGAAACATAAATATTCAAATGTGCGCCTAATCATAATGACAATTCATTTTGGAGTGGTGTTGACCTTTTCATAGTCTTCTTTAGTTTTGTTCCACACGTGGAACCATTTCTCCAGAGTGTCTTCTCGAAGGGTGCCCCCCAGACCAAACTCCTGCTGAATCTTCCCGAGGGTCACTGCGTTTGGAACCAGTTCCACCAGGCCTGACAACGAGTATTAGTCAACATGAATTGACAGACTAAGAGATTGAAGACAAGGGACATATTCATATGCATTGAAAAACTGACCCTGAGCTCTGCCAGTAGAAAGACACCTGTATGTGATCATTCTCAGGTCCAGACCCTCCTCCAGCCAAACTCTGTCCATCACACGGACGATCTGGAGCACCAGCATGTCCTGACGCAGGTTATCTCCTGTCTGAACAACACATTAACAGAAAGAAGGAAACTGTTTACTAAAAAGGTTGCTTGATCACCCAGCAACACAGCCTAGGTGTCATGTCACAAGTGTCCTGTTTATGCAAGGTGCTTTATATGTTGTCCTCTAACTTCCTCTCAAACCATTCCCTCTTTCTGTCACTGTATCCCTCTGCTTTTATAACATGATGTTGGCAGCCGGACATTTCATATTTTCTATTGCTTAAAAAAAAGAAGCTACTGTACATAACAAAGTGCTCCTCTAATGTGACTACTGAAACTGAAAGGTCTCTAATTGTTAATGAACCCTTCCTACAAACAGAGAATAGCTTTATATGGCAACTTTCTGGGAGTTTATTAAGCTTAAGATGAAGCTGAACACACTTTTAGTTTGTCCACTTCTGTAATCTGACTAGGGGAAATGTGTACAAGCAAACTTCAAAGAAGAAAATAGGAGAAATTCCGGATATGAATATTAAAGTATTCTTGCATTACTGAGGATCTATAGAGCAGCTTATTATTACCAACCTTGCAGATGACACTGATGTTCTTAGCCAGAGGGTCAGAGCAGATGAAGGAGATCCCCAGAGGAGCAGCATTGGAGTTGAAGAACGTACAGGCCTATAAGTAACATGGGAGAAGTAAACATTGCGGTATGGTTCACAGCTGGGTGCATATTAGATAGTATAAGAGGTGTAGTGTACTGTGTAACATTCTTACATCCAAGTTCAAGCCCTTTAAATGGACTGCAGGATCCAGTGGCAGACAACAGCTGATTCCATCTTTGAAGAAGTCATTAATCTTTGCCTTCTCATGGTTTAAAACATGCTGCAAAGAAAAGCATCACATGTAAGAGCTTAATAAATAATAAGCAGGATTCGTGGAGTTAGTAATAACACTGGAGGCTTACAAGGCACTGAGTGAGTTATTGATAAATGTGTAGATGATAAATCTGTTAACACACCTTCCGTCGAGCCTTATCGGCCGTGCGGACCCTCTCAGCGACCTGCACCAGAACAGACACCAGGCGGGTCTCCTGCTCCAGCTCCTGCCTTACAGCGCGGCCACAGCCCTGCCGCAGTGCTGCCTGCACCTTACTGAACCAGCTCTGGAAGAACGGATCAGTGTGGGCATCCTCCAGCAGCCTGCCAGCACGTAAAATGTTGATAACTTTACAGCACTGGACTGAACATACAGCAGTGGAAGATATTCATAATAACAATAATACTTTAGCGCTTCACATTGCATATTACATATATTAGACATTGAATACTGTGGCAAATCCCCACAAGAGCTATTTAAGGTGAAGTGTCTTGCCCAAGTGCACAACGGCATGTTGACTTCAGTGTCACTCAACATTTTCTGCATTATGTAGCTTATTGTATTATTTATTTTTCTGACATGTATATAGTTTAGCTCATCTGCATTACTTACACATTGGTCTTTCAACATATTCTGCACTATTTTATTCTAATCTATTCTACTCTGTTTCTTCTTGCACATTTGTTTTATGTCCTATATACTTATTTTGTTGCCTTGCTGGAGGAGCTTGGGACTAAAGTTGTTCAGTGCCATATCTACACTGTAGGTAGTGTGACAATAAAGCCTTTGAATCTTGAATTGTGCATCAAAACATTCAGCGAAATCAAAGATATTCATGCATTTTTACTTCATGTTCACCCCCTTTTACAGCATTACTATTGATCCTCAAAAATACCAAACTTTATTTTCAAAGCCAGATTTTTTATTTTTCCGTTATGAAAGGGACATTTAAGTAATAATCCAAGTCTACAGTCTCTCAGTTTGATGTCTGACTCACCAGTAGAGTTGCTGGGCAATCCGCATGTTCTTCAGTGATCTCTCCAACAGCAGCATGACCAGGGGTCCATCCAACTCCCACTCACTCTTCAGAGCCTGCAGGACAGGAGGACTGATCAGACTAACTTCAAACACTGAGGCAGCTATGCCGTGTGCCCCTTTTTCTCATATTTAAAAACTGCTGGTAAGTGAGGAGATGAATGTGAAGCATGCAACATGTAAATTGTACTGTGTCACTCGGTGTGTACAGTAGTAGTTATGGGTGTGTGCTGGTGTTACCTGGACCAACTGTGGCAGAAACTCCTCTAGCTCTCCATCTGGTATCTGTTCAAAGTACTGAACTGCTGCCCTCCGCACAGTCTGATCATGAAAACTGAAAAGACATATTGAGACAAACAACAGTAATTAAAGATCGTAGAGAACAGAACAGGATATGAGTGTTGTAAGTTCTTATAATAACTACTGTGTTTGATGCTATTGTGGTATATAAACGTAAAGATGACAGCCGAGTGTGACCAGAAAAGAGTGCAACTTCACCAAAAATAAACTCCTGTTTCCTCGTTTTTTTCGGATTTCTTTCTTTTTTGTAGCAATCCAGTATCGAGAGTCTTCCAAACTTTTTTTTTTAACTTTTTCTGTTCCACAGCCTGTCAGTGAAGGACAGAAACAGCCCGGGAGAAACTCAGGTGGGATCTGAGTTATCTTTGTGGAAATCACAATGTGCATCACAGTGTGTTGCAGTGCAGAGCTTCTTCCTGTAGATATTCTCTACCTGCTTGCAAAACTGATCATCTATTTTCACCCTTTGCTCTCAGCCATCTTAATTCTTTGAAGGACATTTCTTAATATAATTATTACAAAATAATAATAAAACACAGATTTTGTAAGAGTATAACCTATGATTGTCTTTAGCTCCTTAATTAAAAGTGTTCTTTCTTTCTTTCTTCCCATATTTATCAGGTGTAAGGGTTGATATATGAAATTGGAAATGGTTTAATTTGTAATTCTAGTGTTTTGGATATTTCCTTACAAGATGCAGATATCTGAATTCCAATTCAAGTCTTTAATCAATCAATTAAAATCAAACAAAAAACTTAAGTTTCGTGACAGTTGCACCATATTAGAATTAAAAAATATTGAAAAATAAAAAAAATGTTTATATAAACATACGTCTTAGTTTACAGCTTTTCATATTGACTGTTGCGGCTTTCACACCAGCGCTTTTCCCTTTCTAGGTAACGTGATTTGCGCCGCGTCCACCGCTTCATGCGCGCCGTCGGAGCGAATTCGCGTCTGATCGTGTCTCTGCATTGACTTTACATGTAATCGCGCCGCCCCCAAACGTCGCACCAGCTCTGAAGCTCTTGCCTCTAGACCGACAATCTTTGGAGCTGGAAGTGAACCGGATTCCGGAGCTAAGAGGCGGCGCCGCTGCGGTGTGAACAGGAATAACCACTACTTTTCAGGCTCCAGCTCCGAGCCGGAGCTGAAAACGCGTTGGTGTGAAATGGGCATGTGTTAATGTTTCTGCCTGTAAACCCACCTTTCACTGAGCAGGTAGAGGGCCTCCTCAGGTAGATGCAGGGGCCAGTTCTCTACAATAGTATAGATCTCTGTCAGGTCTTCAGGCCGCCACCGGGGGGCCCCCCCCAGCAGCAGGTGGAGGAAAGTACTTGCCTTGTCACTGCAGTGACGCTTACTCCAGAGGAAAGCCGTCTCATTTTTTGTTAGACTGGGTAAGGAGAGACAATTTCAGAAAGATGTTAAAGGATACAGACAGAAAGAGAAAACAAGGGGATGGAAATCTCCCTTCAAAATAACTTCTGTACAAACATATGAAACTGCACATACATACAGTAGTTCATAATATAATGTGTGTTGTTTCCTTATACTTACAAGCAGAGGCAGTGCTTCTTAGACACTTCCAGCATTTTCTTTTGCAAGTCCTCACAAGGCTGAGTGAAAAGGATCGACCCGGGGAGGGCGATGGGCCTCTGATACGTCCACTCAAACTGATCGTGAAACTCAAGCTGGGGAAAGATGGAAGGATGGATGATCAATCGGGTAATGTGTCATGTGTTGGTCAACAGGGGGCAGAGTTGTCCCGTGTTACTAACCTGCAGAATAACTTCGTTGGCTTGTCTGTGGCTGTCAAACAGGGCGGGGGAGGGGGGGACGAGCAGCTCGCTCAGTGTGGACATACTGAGCAGAACGGTCCCCATTACAAGGGTCCTGGACACAGAGCACACACACTGCACGTCACACATAGTCAAGTATATTTTAGCGTTGTCCCTAAATCTCAGGAATACAGTTTATTAAATGCACATGAACCACTGTACAAGACAATGAAATATAAGAGGAAGCAATAACCTTTACTTATCTGTTCATTTAAATCAGGGGTATAATGTATTGATATGCAAGAACAAATCAGCCCTCAAACATTGAATAAATGCACAAAGTGAAGAAGAGAAACAACAACACTACAAGCTTTTATTGACTGCCAATTCTTAAGGCAGGAAACACAATATTATCTTTAGTTTTTACTATCCAAAATATCCAAGGTGGCGTGTGCCATGCTCTTCTTTATAAAGAAGTATGTTTATAATATATGGGAACAAATAAATAGAGAAGAAAAAAACAAGGAATTGTATTTATTGACTATTTGACTGCAATTTTGGTGTTTGTCTCTTTCTTAACACCTCACACAAAAAGTCAGTTAAAAAGAGCCCCATTTTACAAGTTGATCTTTGCAGTAGTTTAGAGGGGCACAGAGATATGTTGTTGTCCCTCCAAGCATACACCGAACGACTTGTTTCTCACAATAGGTATCACATATAGACATTTGGCATACATTCAGCATGCAAGCTGATCATACATTTAACAGGTTTAGCATTTAGTCAAATTTGATTGATGAATTATTATTGGTTGATTTTGATATGGGGTTTAATGATGTAGACGTCCTACCTGTTGCTGAACAGAGGCAGTACAGCCCAGCCCAACAGCTCGGGGTGCTTGCCTCGCTTGGAGCCCTTAAGGCGAAACGTCATCATGCTCTCATACGGCAGCTCATTTACTGGAACAGGAAACACCATCCTAGAATCAAAAACATGCAGTTAAAAAATTATGTGATTTATTTTCATGCTCTTTTTAAAACAATGTTCTATTATAAGTCACATGTATTAAAGATAGTCACTTAAAGAAGGGACAGTGAGATTCTGCTTTACGACTTCATGTATTCATGAATGACAATTGTGTGTGAACGAGGAAGGAGGAAGTTGAATGTGATGACATGACATTATTGGTAAGAGACTCCAGGAGATGTTGTCCTTACATGCGGTCACAGTGGATCTTGTGACCGTAAGACAAAGCGGTGCTGATATTTTCTGAAATGCCTGTGTCACAGATCTTTGTTCCACCGTACGTCAACTCACAGGAAACAGAGAAGCTCTCATAACTAAAAATAACAAAAAAGAAAGAAAAAGTAATGAACCCATTGTTTGTTGTCAGTGGTGTGGTCAACATTTGTGTCTGTGAGCATATCATTTTCAATATTTGTTTACCTGCATGTGTTAAAATGTGTGTGTGCAAATGTGTGGCTATAAATAAACATACTTGGTCAACCAGGCGGGATGCAGTTTGTAGAGAGCGGAGATATTAAACTGGATGATTTCTTGGTTCTTCTCAACGTCAAGCATCTGGACGTTTCTGGTTACCTCCTGACCTCTGAAGTCTGAATGGAAGTTGTCAAAAAAAATCTGCAGCACTTTAAGCAGCGCCCGGTGCAGCATGATCATAGCTGGAACACAGAAAACACACATTAGTTTGGATAATCACATGTGAATATACCAAACAGGTAACACTTTAATTAAGTCTCCGTACTATACTCCCATTTTATATTAATCTACACTACACATATTTCAAGATTAATTATTGCATCTTGCATATTTGCAATGAATGTCACTAAAATATGTGCACACACACTGACTCACAAGGTGAGCATGTAAGCATTCACACACAAAGACGCACACCCAAAAATAGTATTATAGCTGATGAACAGCTACTCACCAGTTTCACATTCAGACATCTCATCATGACTCTGTAAAACATATAAAGAAACACAGCTTTGTATTGTTGATCAGAGACATTAGGAGGTATTTTCTATCCAATCACAATCACAATATTTCAGAGGCATGGTATTGTAAATTGTTATAACACAGGATTACAATACAAACAAAAAAGTATTCTATAAAAAGGAAAGCAATGCTTAAAGCACAGTTTTACAAATGTGTGTGATATCCTACCAGAGGTATGGGATTGATTCTGTTGAGCCTGCCAATGGCGTCCTCCAGATCCGGACACGTGAGCCCGCCCAGCAGATTGCTAATGGTGCGAACGCGGTCCACAAGCACATTAACGTTCATCCCAGACTGCAGAAACCGTGAGATCAGACCCAAGTTAGAGGAAATATCAGAAAGTCAGATCAGGATTCAACAGTCCTACTGATATAACTGAATGATCTTGAGGTGGTTAGTCATGTAGTGACAGGATGCAGTTAAAAAAAAGTACTACAAATATCCCACTGGTTACCTTTAGCCTCATTAGCTCTGTCACCTCTCTGTTGTAGCTAATGAGCACATTCTGTAGGCTCAACCTGAGAGAGAAGGAAGGGTTAAACACACAGAGGTAGGAAACCATGAAGCAAAGCTACCTTTCCTTATGTTTCCTGCTAACAGAAACTGGTTGACACATGACCCACTGAATAGTAGTCATTGTTATTGAATCCATTTTGCAAAGTTGATGTGGGATGTAACATACTTGCAGGTGTTGAAGACAAAGGCGGGGCGTAGCAGCTCGTACAGCTGGCATGGGGCTGCGTCGTCCTCCTCCTGTGAGAAAAAACAGGTGGAAATACTGACTGCTTGGAGTGTTTTTAACTACTATAATATCACATTATTCACATAAAGTATGTGGCACTGAAAAGGTTATTGTTATGAATATGAATCTTAGGAAAATCAGGTTCACCTTTCCTCCATTTCTCTCTTGTTGCTAAGTGCCAGCAGCCATGACGTGATGTGTAAACAGAACAAAGTCAAGAATTGAGGGTGGAGGTTTTTATGACCTCCAATAGCCCTGATGATAAAGAGCTGGCCGGCTGCCAGGCACAGGTGTTTATGAAGGCAGCATTTCAAGACTGAAGACAGGCCAGCCCTCAGCCCTTTCTGGTAAATGATCTATAATGTAGGTTTGAACTAACTCACATCCCTGCACAGGCGGTTCCTCAGGTTGTTCACGTGGAGCAGTCGGAGGGGCACTTCTAGTTGAAGCTTGGAGTAGATCTGAATAGACTCGTGCATACCCAGCAGTTCCTCACTAAGGACAAGATCACCAAATTAAAACAATGGATGTGAAAACAGACAAGGTTTTAATTAAACATCATAGACTATAGCAGAGGCTTTATAAGGGGGAGGCGGGCTACACCAGGTGGGCTCAGTGAACCGAAGCTAAAATATAGTACATTAGTTAGTGAAACAAGATAGAATTAATGTATGTAATTTGTTAAAGAAACAGTACACATATTCAGTAGTTTCGGGGAAATGTATTTTTTGAGTCATACATTTCCCAGGACAGACTTTACCATTATACATCTCGTGTAGTCTGCAGTTATGCCTCAGTTATATTGTGTCTTTTGTTAAGTGTCTATAGGCTCAGGCATTCAAGAACTTAGCAAAATAAGAGTAGGCCCACATTCCCAGACTTGATAAAGTCCTGTACTATAAGGTCACAGCTCATACATGTTTATTTCTGTATTGGGGACTTACTTGTGGAGATACTCATCGGAGTTACACAGTTTTAAATAATGCTGCTCATTGGTGCTGGGAGTGAGGTCCAGCAGCTGGAAGATTTCATCAATCAGACTCTTCACTGTCCTGTTCACTGGATAAAAGATCAGAGTTCAGAGTCCACACACTCCTGCCAACATCTGTACTGACGGATACTGTAGTGAATAGAAAGCCTGGAGCATTTCCGTATTCTGCATCTTTATAGTTTGACCCAACTATATATATATATATATATATATATATATACATGACACCTTTAATTACTTAGATTTCTACATACAAACCATATGATAATTTTTTTTAATATGATTCTTTATTAAAGGACCTGCAACTCCAAACAGTGGATTTTAACAGTGTGGCTGATTAGACCTGCTCAGGTTCGATTTTTGCAATGTTCTGAACATATGTTGTCCCCCTGTAATAATAGGAACAGGGCAGCCCCCTTTATTCCAATTTCCTGATCTTAAAAATAAGTGTTTCAGGACCCATTCCGAAATAGCTTATTTTCCATCATGGATACTTTTACTTTTGATACTTTAAGAACATTTTGCAGGTTATGAGTACTTTTACATTGTAGTTTTGCTACTAATTTAAGTTAAAGGTGGGGTAGGTAAGTTTGAGAAACCGGCTCGAGATACACTTTTTGTTATATTTCATGGAATGCTCTTAACATCCCGATAGCAATGAATATCTGAAGTGCTTTGACAAAAAATCCATTAAAAAATGTCATCTGTGGAAGCCGTTGTGCTGTAAAAAGAACGACCAATCATTTGAGTCGGCCCGGCTAAAATAACTGGATGGCCTACCTGCCTGTCAGCCTTCCATCTGTGCACAAACTTATCTCGTGCCTTCATTGGTCATGTGCGCGCTCGTGTGTGTTGGAGGAGGGGCTCTGTAAGGAAGTGGCAGATTTGTTCCGGCTGTGTATTTTCTAATTCTAGCGCACTCGAGCTGGTTTCTCCAAAAATGACCTACCCCACCTTTAAAAGATCTGAGTCCACCAATACAAACAAAGATGAAAAACTTTAAGCAAGCTAATTGTACAGTACTACTGTATCATTAACCCTATTATTTACATGTGTTATCATCAAATGAAAGAAAGCCTTCTAAATGGAAAAAAAAAATGGAAATCTCTTAATTTTCTATGGGTACAAACTACTACATTACATTACATTACATTTAGTTGACGCTTTTATCCACAGCGACTTACAATAAGTGCATTCGACCAAGAAGATACAAACTTGAAGAAAACAGAATCATATAAGTACATCAGGTTTCATAGAGCTAAAACATTTCAAGTGCTACTCAACTGGCTTTAGATAAGCCGGTCTTTTATTAGTATATAAGTGCTTTGTTAGTCATTCTATTGCTCGAAGTGGAGACGAAAGAGAAGAGTTTTTAGTCTGCGCCGGAAGATGTGTAAGCTTTCTGCTGTCCTGATGTTAGTAACCGTTCTCCTAAATTGGTTTGAAATACCTTTGGTGGGCACGGGCAGCTGGTGGGTTCCCCACTCAGTGGCCACGCTGACCGTCACCTCCACCTGCTGCAGCAGCGCCGGGTGGATCTGCAGAACGCGACTCCAGACCAACCCTGAGTTATGAACGCTGTCTGTGTGCCTGTACCGTGACATCAGTCTGCCAAAGAGGGTTATAAAAAGAAAAACAGGAATGAATTGAAGTGTGAAGACAACGTTCTGTACTTTAAGAATATGACTCATATTAGCCGGACTGAATGTACAGATATGATATGATATTGTTTTCAAGGAACAAAAGCAGGAATCACATTTATATATTTCTTTGAATATGTCGTATAGAATTTTTTTTAAAAGCATGACAATCTTTTTAGGCAACTACAATTTCAGATTACACAAATACAAGCATAAGTATATTTATTTGAGTCTGTGTGTCATTTTAAATAAAACTTTTCAAATTCAATTACCGTGTATTTTTTTTTTCTCCCATTTACATACCAAAAAGTAACTACCGTAATTTTCGGACTATAAGGCGCACCTGAATATAAGCCGCAGCAGCGGCGTACCACTCTCGGTTCCACTTTTACTTTTGCGCGCTA